TCACTGTCAGCCTCTGGATATAGTCCAATCAGCGTCATGTCACGTTTTGTGGAGTACCGCCTCTTTTTGGGCGATTTCACTACGGCTGAGAATCGCCCCGAGTGGCCCCATAGACTTACATTCAAAGATGTTTTTTTTCGAACGGGGGCGCTGCAATGCATTCTCTATTGCTTCCGGGAGGGCTCGCACTAACGTGCTTACGTCATCATACGTGCCAACGTCATCATACGTAAGCACGTTTCATCCAACAATATAATTTATCGCCACCTAGTGGAATCTTTAATAAACTTGAGTGGTTTGTTTTAATAGTGAGTATATAAACAAACAAGATGTATTGTAAGAGTCACTTTATTTTTCATTAATATTAAAGAAGTGAAGTTGCCTTTACATGCTTAAGCTGTTAATTTATTCATTGCATGGGTGGACCTTATCCTTATCAATCATCCAGACATTTGCCCCCCCTGAGAGATTTTGCAGGAGCCGCCACTGGTGAGTACTCTCCAACACACCGGTGGGCTGAAGTAGAAACTTATTGGCGTTTTGTTTAAGTGACAAATCCCTTACTCATTGGCTGTGTCGGGTGGTGGAGGGTTACGACACATTTATACTTACGCGATCTAACCCAAAATCTTTTATTATGAATAATATTGGTCGCGAAAGCCTACGTGTTAAATTTGTTATCATGTTATAGTGTATTATCCGTTCGTTTTCCATTAAAAACGAGTCCAATATAAGTGTTGACACCCTGTAATACCCTGCTCCATTGAGCATTGAGGAGGCACTCATGGCAGGGGACGACAACCACTGACTACAAAGTGGTACCTATTTTGTTAACCCCGGGTGGATGATGGGATGTATGTTGAACTTCTTTCACACTGTACGTAGGCAACCGTGCTAATCGGAGGTGCGGGGGAAGAACAATAAACGCAACACAAAATGCAGTTCTAAAGAAATGAGTTTTCAATCTGGATTTAAAAGTGCATAGAGGCCGTCCATAAATGACGTCACACACCTAGGGGGGGAGGGGGGTCAGACATTTGTGACGATGTGTGACGAGGGGGGGGGGAGGTGAGAAATGTGACGTCACATCAAAATGCGCAACTTTAAATAAATATAAACAATATAATTGTTATAACAACACAATTGTTTTTAACTAATTTTCATTATTAACTATTTGATTATTTAAATTTACTAAGGTAACCTTTTATTTATTCCATGAAGGAGCAATTTGTACATTTTTTGAATGATTGTTATTAAACATTTTGATTTTAATGATTCTACCAGAGCTTTTCATTCTGTGGAATGAATATGTGATAAATATAATTGTACTCTCCATTTTGCTTCGTTCTACTACAAAGTTTCAAGTATAATTATAAGAGAATTTCAATATAATATTCTGAACATCTGCAATCTGCAGTTTTAGTTAGACGTTGAATATTTTCAAGTGAATTTTATGCTAAATTTCAGCTTTCCAACGCCTTTTTAATACGTGTTTTCTCCTACAACATCAGAGTGCAGCGCCACATTAAATAGCACTATAATGACGATAGTTGAAAGCGATTTAAAGCATGTTTTATTTTCAAAATGGAAATATGGTTTTTTGGGGGGGGGCAGAGCTTTGTGGCGTCATATTTGACGAGGAGGGGGGGTAAAAATTGGCCTTAATCGCGTGACGTCATTTATGGACGACCCCATAGCTCCAGTAGCTTTCTAATATCGGAAGAGCATTTCAGACGGCCGCAGAAGTGCATCTGAAAGCGCGCGATGCAATGCCCCTTTTTGTTCCGATGGCCAACCAAGAGCCGTTGCGAAAATTACCGGAGTCCGCGTGATGGTTTATGCTCTCAACCAGGATTTCAATTCGCAAACTTCTCATTACGAGCCATTCGCTCTACCACTGAGCCACCTGGCAGCACCAATAAAACTGTATTACTGTTATGTACACAAATAATTACATTGTCTCCCACGTGGATTTTTGAAACGAGCTTTCAAAGTGACAAGGTGCGTAACCAGGAGATTGTTAATTGTGCTGAAGCTATGTGCAGAAAGCTGACGTGTTATTTTGGGGCGTTAATAATAAGAATGTAACGTGTGCTTCTGAACGCACCACGCAGCGTGAATGCAAAAATATGCATATTCAGTCCAAAGACCAGCATTTTTTCCCCCCATAGAAATGTAAAAAAAAACATTAGCAGTTTTTTTCTCCCGATACCAGGTGTGATCCTATATTTCATTAAGCCGAGTAAATGTACGATTAGTTGAGTACAACAGACAAAATGAATTGAGAAATAATATAATTCGTGAAACCCACGTGTATATTATCCAACGGTGCAATCTCTATGTACTGCTCTATTACAGAATTACTGTTCCTGTATGTGAGATCAAAATTTTGGTCCCCCCCCCCCCCAGAGGTCGCAACAGGGTACCCGATACCCGTACCCTACCCGATACCCGGCTACCTGTACCCGGCCAGGTACGGGTACGGGTACCCGTTTGCGACCCTGGTGCGGCCGGGTACGGATACGGGTGGGCCGTGAGTCACTGATGAGTAACCGTTTGTCACTCATTTCGGGTAGGGTACGGGTACGGGTAGGGAACGGGTACTCATTTGCGACCCTGGTGCGGCCGGGTACGAGTACGGGTAAGGAATCAAAACCCGTTTGCGACCTCTGCCCTCCCCCCACATTTATCATGTATTCAAAACATCGAGTTATATACGTATAGCACGTGTAAGGGAAGTTTTATAACTCGGAACTCTGCGCGTATGTAGTCGAAAACAAAAATCAGCAGGCATGATGTGCGACTTCTGCATACTTCATAACAGGTCTTCAACCAGTCCTTTTGAACTAAATTCAGGCCAACGATTTTTTGTGCTTTTCATTCATTAGGAATGGTTCTAGATTTGAAGCTTTCGTGACTGCAAGGATTCATACTCTTAGTTTTTTCGGTAAAGTCACGTAGGTAAAAAAATGAAATTAAAATTAATAAAAGAAAATAATAAAAATCACATTTTCATACAGCAAATCTGGCTGTGACGGTCCCACCTGATGACGGAGACTTGTGTTGCCTCCGAAACGTCGTGATTTTTATTATTTTATTTTATTAATTTTAATTTTTTTACCTACGTGACTTTACCGAAAAAACTAAGAGTATTAGGAATGGTGTTTAATATACCCCTTTTTCCATGCCTTGTCACCGCTGAAATGGAAATGGTTGATAAGCGTACAAATGAGGACCTTCAGTATGGAAGGAGTGTAACGAGACTATCCACTAAACTCGTATTGCATTACTTCCCTTAAAATTGACAACAATCTTCAGAACCTAACTTTTTGGTACATGTCATGCAGTGTAATGTAGTTCATTTTATTATAATCGTATTAAAGCCCACTACCAATTGAATAGAAGAGAAACGTTTACTGCATATGTTTTAGAAAGTGCATTGAAATTCTCTTCATGTACAGGGGACCCTTGCAGAGCTTTGGAAATTAAGGATTATGTTGAATTGTAAAATGTGGTTGTTTTTACCATATTTATTACCTGCAAATGTGGCCGTCATATTGACACGTTGGCTTATTTGTATTACTTTGGGAAATGTTTGTTGTCTAATGTATTCTGCTCCTGTGGCTATGTGGGCTATGCCTGTTATGCTCAGTGAACACATCTTGTCAAGGGCAACGGACAAAGCAACTTCCATTGCCCTGTATTAATACATCCACACATGGGCAGACATTTCCTACATCCCCCTATCTGCCTCCTGCAGCTTGCATGACCTGTCGCCATTAATAGACCACGCGGTTAAAGTACTCATGGGATTGTGGCATGCGATTTACGCCGGGGCAAAGATGCTGCATATTGTGTGCGGACTGTGTGTGAAGCAGGTGTTGGAAGGCTAACCGGAGTAAAAGTTTGTATTTGGGGTGGGTAGACCATGGCTTTCCGCAAAGACCACCAAACGCTACACAGCATAATCATGGATTTCCAGCGTTTGTGGTATTCCTGATAGTGCCGTTTTATGAACAGCGCGTCAGCGATGGCACTCAATAATAGCACGTGAATGTGTACAAACCAAATTGGGCAATGCTGCCCAATCCACTCACGCACCTTATGCACTCTTATCACCTTTACAATGTAAGGTGGAAAATAAAAACATTTTTTTACGTTCTAAGACTTTGTATTAACTGGTACCAACTAGCCATTCAGTGGCTGTGCGGGCTATCTTAACTATGAAGTTATTTTCACTCAGCTCAATTGAATCAGAAATTCATATTTATGGGTATTTCAAAGTTATTTTTAAAGAGCAATGTATATTTCTAATTCATGATGCAGCAGTAATAATTAAACCGATATTTTATTTCTAAGACGTTCCTATGTTTAATTGATGTGTATACCTTTTTACGCTATTAAAACCCGAAGGTATTCATGATAATTTTATAGAGTCAAAAATATTAACATTTGAAATATATATATTTAAAACTAAATGACATAGTGGGGGGGGGGGAGAATTGAATTTTCTCAATGCAAAGCAATACAACACAATTTTATTTACCGGGTAACGCCCACTGAGCCATTCGCTCTTTTTGCAGGTGACCTGGTCACACATGACAGCTCATCAAAGTGCCATAAATCACGTGGGGATTTCTCGTAGCCAATCATTTAAACGCATGCCTCTAAATGTGGGGGGGGGGACTGGGGAACCCGGAGAAAAATCCACGTGACCACGGGGAGAGAGGAAACGCGAGCTCCAAATATACAACAATTGTCGTCAGGGTTGGAAACGAACCTATGACTTCTTCGTTCCAGGCGAGGGAGATGTTTTTCGCCACTGCAGCGTGCCAGTGTGCAAATAAAAACGTCTAAATGTTAATATATCTCCAAATTTTTCCATAAAAAAAATAATGCTATAATTTGAATTAACTAATTCTACATGGAAATTATGTTTCTATCCTTTGCGTCATTTATGTTTAAACATAATTAAAGATGTGACGCTGAATGGTGTGGGGATGAAGGCCTCGGACATGGCCATTAGGTGAGCTCGTCAGGTTTTATACATGAAGGGGACACACTTTATCCACCCATCATTAGCTTTGATGGGCTGCCAGATATTGACTTCACTATTGTGCTCAAGAACAGGCCTATTTTTCTCTCGATATGTATTGTTGTCGATGTGATAGATGAGAGGCTCTGCATTTAGTGCTAGCCTAAGTGAACGTATACAATATCCATGCATGCATGTTGTTTTTATTTGTATCGCTTCATAATAAATACATACATTTGTAAGGACATGTATTTGAATATCCATTCATGTATATTGGTATACCTATGATATATTATCAAATATATTTTGAATTTGTTTAAAAAATATGTATGCAAAGAACTGCAAATTATAAGAAATGTGAAATTGCCCTTCAAATTCCATGTGCAGTCAACAGCTTAGGATCACGTAAAATGTAAAACATAACATTCTCAATATCCCCAATATTCATACATTACTGTTGTCCAGTTTATATTTATGAAACTGGTCCAGAAAATATCATTATTGTATTTAAAAAATATGTCTTTATTCACGTTTCCCACGCATGGGATATTTCCAACAAGAAACAATGATGCCCGATGTTACTGGTCACAGGCATGCTTATTTACAGCGCCTAGGGTTGGAATCTCACAGAGTTGGCTATTATAATAAACACAACAGTGGTGAGAGGGGGGGGCGAACATATGGGAGAGTAAAGAGCTGTGCATGTTGATTGGGGAGGGGGGGGGGGATCTCATACAATTAATAAGGCGTGTGTCCTGGTATTTTTTAAAAGCATATTATTATTCATCCAGGAATGCTGCACGATTGTCTTTCATTCGGATGTTGGGCCAAAACCGTTGATTAGTGAGAGGCACATGGATGACAAGGAGAAAATTCAAGCATGCAAGAGGACAACGCTCGGCCTTGCCATACTGACGGGCACTTTATAGCTCCACGCCTAAACAACACCTGGTAAGCCGTGGTGGGTCACGCATCCATGTATTAACTAGGCTCAAATGTGCTTATCTTCTGAGATCCGATGAGATTTGATGCATTCATGGTGATTTTATCGGAGGAAATGTGTTTAACAAAATTACTATTCGTCAACATGTCTAACGGGTATTGCATACATTTTGCCTAATAACCTTTCTCATATAACTAGCCTTTTGAGGACCATGCATTTTTTGTTGTTCGATAAATGGTGGAAAAATACTGCCAAGGTCCTGCATGCATAAGCTTCTCTTGTGTTTATACGGCTATTTCGCCCTTATTTTGTCACCTACAATAAACGTCTGTCATTCCATTGTGCCCAAATGTTCTTAGGTTGCAAATTAGATTGTCTTTGTGGAACCTGGTGATTTTGTCAAGCATACATTAGCCACCAGTACACAACGTCCTTGTGACCCAGAAAACACCAACGTGAGCAGCATTCATTTGCTCAGGACTCGGTGCACCTTCGATGTAAAACCACAGTATGCATGTGGCTGCTGTCGCTCGTCATATGCATGTCTCTGCTGAATGCAACCTGCTTTCACTTACGATGGCACCCAATGTTAAAGGCATTACCAGCTTGTACACTTTGGGCAGGCTGCCTGTAACCCTTTGGGCCTTTGGGGGAAGAGGGCAGCCACAGAAAGAAAAGCTGTAAACAAAGCTGAAGAGAAACCAAACACGTCTAAGGATGGGGGGTGGGGGGGGGAGATAGAAAAAACATGATTTTACCAAAAACTCTCCACTTGAATGCTTTTGGCTGAGACTTCCCTGTCATCTGCCAAGTGTTCTGGAAAAAGGGCAATGATGAAACCGGCCATGTTTTTTTTACATATCCCTAATACATAAAAATTAATATTAACATATTCAGCTGTGTAACGATTTAGAGAGTTCATAACACTTCCTTTGTATACATCCATGCGTTTATGCTGCCATACTCCGTATTTTATATTTATAAACATATATAAAACTATCCACATAATGTCAACTGCATAAATGGAACATTTTTGATATACAATATCACTCTTCTTCTTAGTACATCCTTAAACCTTCCATGATTCAGTTGAGGAATCCCGATAAGTATAATGGAAACTAGAACATGTCATCTTTATAACGATTGCATGTCAAAAGAGCTTTTATAGTAATATACATAGCTAGAATAAACTATCAGTAGGACTTATAAAATTACAATTGTAAAGAATACAAACAATTTATACATATTTCTTTTACATTTATTCGTTTTGTATGCACAGCTTTGTAATTAAAATTTTCAACATTGAACAGTTGCTCAGTCGTGATTTTCTTACAAATGAAAAAATAGAACATTGTACAAAATGCCTCTCCAATTTCTCTTTTCGCAGGATTGTCCAAAGGCATTTTGCACTAAGCCAAGGCACGACCCCTTTGTGTAGGCTGCGGATGATGTCGGAGAGTGCGCCATTTCAGGTGATCTGCGACTGCTCTCTGAATTTTAACCTCCCTTAAAGACATGTAAAGGTTATTTGTGGTTGCACCCAAGAGCAATGGTGTGTGAGCCAAGGGTGTTGTTTGCCGAGATACAAAAAAATTAACGTAGAAGGTTAAATGTTTATTGTTTACCGAAAGTTATGTTTGTGTTTCAGCATCCTCGTGAGCCATGATAAATCCACTGCTGGACGAAGGGGTCTCCCCATGTCATCGCCATCTGTCTTGGTCTTGTGATGTCGAAATCGATCTCGCTCCATTTCCTCGTGGACAGCATATTGGGCTTTTTCCCTCCTTTGGCAGCCGTTCTCCCACAAGTCTCGTCCATCCACTATCAATCTTTTCTATCTACGAGTTCTGCCCAAGTCCGCTTACTTTTCCGAACCGACAATATGTCCATCGTTTTTTGTCTCTCCGTGTAGCTTTTTACCATTCATCTCTCCATGCTCCTCTGCACACTGTTCAGTGTTTCTTTACTTTGTCAGTGTTCATGTTTCCCCATCCATATATCACAGCAGGCAGGACTAGAACTAACATCTGAACTGTCTCAGGACACCCATGAAATAAGGCCTCACAGCTGATTGGGTCCTTCCTGCTGAAATAAAATCTCAAATTTAATCAATGCGTTGACTGAGACATCCTTGTTAAGACCAGGATCACTTCTTGAAGTGTGACATCTGGAATATTTCCATCAAAAAAATGATCTTTCTCATGGGGTAATATTTTGCTATGATACTCTTAGGTTTAATATAAATGATTTCTATTATTTTTATTATTTATTTTTATTTTTACCTACGTGACTTTACCGAAAAAAACCTAAGAGTATGAATCCTTGCAGTCACGAAAGCTTCAAATCTAGAATTTTTGCTATGATGTTTGGTATTGAAATCTGGTTAGAGTTCCTGCATTCATGTAATTATTCTCGATCATGCACACATGGTTCCATCTTCACCAGGGCTACAGTTTGTGGTTCACCTATTACCAACTTACTTTTTGCTGCATTCACGCTCTCATAGCTTGACACCATTATTGGTTGTGTTGTTTTCTAAAATCAGTTTAAACCAATTCAAAACTAATTGAAAATACAATATAATTTTCTTCAAATGAAAACTACATTAACAGATTACATTTCGGGCAATAGATTAAGAGTTAGAGACTGCACTATACACTATTGGGCCTGATTAGACTTTCATATTTATTCCGATGAACAGTTTTAAATTGGCGTGCGAATAGTTACCTATTCGAAGATATTGAGTAACAGATTCTCATAGTGCGGTCAATATTTCACTTTTATAGATGAATGTTTCCACAGAGGAATGCTTTGTGTGAATGTTGAACTTCGTTCGCACCATATTCAGCGAACCGTGCTAATCGTAGGTGCTTGGGAAGGACGACAAAATTAAACACAAAAAGCATTTATTGATAAAGGAGTCTTCAATTTAGATTTAAAAGTGCATAGATGTGATTATGGTAATTGATGACAATTGAGAATAAGTGAAGGCATTCCTGGCAGTCATTTTGGCCAGGAATAGTGAAGGCATGATAAATATCACCAGTGACTAAAGCTGACACTATATTTATTGAAATTAGATAAGCTTGCTAAAATAAATTATACCCATTCCTTGAGAGTATTTTTTCGTTTGAAATAATTACTTTAAAGACATTTTTTTGGGGCAATCAAATACAAGCCAATCCCTGTTCGATGTCGACATGTATTCACTTTGTTGGGGGGCAGGTGAGGGGAAGACAAAGGAGAGGGACCTTAATCTGTATTGTGGGATTAGCTATATTAATTATCAGTAACCTGATTCAGGGCTAAATTCACAGAATGTTATGCAAGTCTATTTAACCTTTTCAGAAAAAAAAAATTGTCTTCGTATAAACCTAGATTTTGTGCTTCTGCACTTAATAGACTACACCATTCATACTCATTTCCACACATTGTGTTATAAAAAGGATTATCAGTGTTAACAACATGCCATAGAAAGAGCGTTTTTGCTGTTTGTGCAGTAAATGTCTACCGCTTCTGAGTCACTGGCACTGTGAAAGGATTTCTAAGCAGTGGGAATGTATACACCATGAATTAATTATTCATCCTGTCTGCTTTGTTAGAAAATTTGATTTTGCTTCATGGCCATGTACTCCACACAAAAGGCACTGGCAATATTCCCATGGCATAAATAAACATTTTAAATGTGAAGTCTCTTTTTCTGAAGGTTGCGGTTGAAACAGTATGGATGAAAGGCAGGGTTTGCAAAGTTGGTTCATTTGAAATTGGAAGTCACAAAAGGTGTCCCAGACAAAAAACCCCCCAACATTTTATACTTTGTAGAAGACAGCGTAATACCCTCATGGGGGCATGCTTTATAAAAGACTAGATTGTTTTGCCCATCCAAGGACGGGTGTATATTGCAGTAAATCTGAAATATTAAATAGAAAAAATGTGCAGCTCATGATTATTAATTCATTGCACAATGATCAGATCTGGTAATATTTTGTTGAAATTAAATTTATAATACGATCCTCTTTCAATTTGAACAATGCCTAAATGCAATCGC